TATTTCAGTTTTATCTATGCTTTCTGGTTCCAGACAATTTATAGAAATGTGTGATTGTTTTGATCAATTTAAAATTATGGATGTTCATATTTGTGGCGATGTTAGTAAAGGAGTATCCACATTAATGAATTTTAGAGTGTGTTTTATAAAGAGTATTTCACTTCAGGTGAGTACTGATAATGGTTCAACTTGGACAGATATTGATGCTGCTGATTTATTAGTTGATGCGAATCATGTGTATTTTGAAGAAGGTCAGGCTGGCGAATTTATTGAATATTATAATGGGAATTTTTATATCGGAAAACCGGAACATGGTGCTGGTTATCCAGTAATTGCCACACAAGTTCTTAGTTTTCCAACTGTTTATGGACTAGCTAGTCGTCGTACTGTTCCTCCCGGATTTTTTACTCCAAGTCCTACAGGAGTTTCATATGTTGAACCTAGTTTTGATGTTCTTTCTTCTTATTCTTCTTTTATATATCAAAGTAAATTACCTGGTGCTAGTTTACATTTATCACTTGATGTTGCTGGAGTATCTTCGAGTGAAAAAATGATGACAACCCCTACTATGATGGCAGGAAAGTTATATAAATTTATTCCAGAAAATCAAAATGGACGTTTTTATCCTTTTATTATGTATGGTGCTAAAGCCACTCTTCCTACTGGTGACGGTGATATTACTGATGCTCTTTCTTTTATTGATGATGGTGGTATTTCTTGGACTGGTAATGCGGGAATACCACAAGAAGAAGAAGAAATTATTTTGGATAATGCCAATGGTTGATTTACAGGATGTTATTCGTGATAATGTGAAAATAAAAGTTCGTGTTGGTCGTGGTATTGTAGTTGGAGGATTTCAGGGGTCAGATGCTGCAGATGTTGAAGCTGCATATAAACAAGAACTTGCTAATCATACTAGTGTTGATAGTGATGGTTCATATATTATGAAAATTATGGGTTATATTACTGTTAGATTTAAACAATTACGTTCATCTCCACTTGAAATTGTTGAAGCATATAATTTTGTTCGTTGCCAATCATCTTGGAAGGATACTCAGACGGGTCAAACTGTTTCTCATGATAGTGTAATTTCGTTAAATGGATTAGGTCAATTTGTTCAAGACGGTGTTAGTGGGTTTGTTATTGAACGTGGTGATGGAGAATCTTGGAGTGATGCTCTAAAACGTTATGGTTATGAAAATTTGCCTGTTGACACTTTCATGACTATTGGTTCTCTTGCTGAAGGAACGGGTATTACTTCTTATGTGTGTAACTTAGCTAAAAGAGGAGTTAAAAGTGTAATTGGTCCTTTAGTTGAAAGTGCTCTTTCTGATGCTATACCTGGTTATAATACGGCTAAAGTGTTGGTGGGTTATGCTTATACTGGTATTTCTGAGGGTATGCAGTTTATTGATAATAATACATATTTGAGTGCTGGTCGAGATGCATTGGAATCTGTTTTAATTGGTGGTTTGAGGAAAGTTGCTGGTGATAAAGTTGTTGATTTTTTTAGTAATGCTACTTCGTTAATATCTAAGACTATATCATTATTTAATTAGAACTCTTAATTGAATCTTGTTTTCATTCATTTGATGCAACGACGTGCTGGTAGACGTAATTATCCAAGAAGAGGATATAAAAAACGCGCAACTTTGAAACGACAAGCATTTGGTAATTTTGCCAGTGCTATGCAACAACGAGATAGTACTAATGTTGTTATTAGTATGCAAGAAGATGTTTCTATTAATGTTCCAGTTGGTGCAAACGAAGGTACAATGTTAAGGAATGTTACTGCATTGATGACTTCTACACAATATTTTCATAATTATATGGGAATGTATGATCAATTTAAGTTAAATGCTGTTAGAGCATCTATGGAAATGACAT